CTTGTTGTAGGTGGAGCATAAGGTTAGAAACTAAACCAAACTTAAGAAAACAAAAAAGAAACAAACAAAAACAAAAACCTACAAAAAAAATAAATAAAAAACCTAAGTAACTCTGCCAGCGTCTCTTTTGGGTCACTTTGCTGGTCCCAAGCCCGGATAAAGGAGGAGGGATGGACATAGAGCTAGGAAATACACCCCACATAACAGTCTTTTGGTTAAATTTTATATTCTAATATTTAACAATACAGGGCAAAATTGATTTATGTAATGTGGTTCTAGACAAAGCATTAAAGTTATTTTGAGAAGTGATGGCCTATTTCAATGGCAAAAAAAAAAACAAGAATCAACAGAAGAAAGTTCATTTGTAGTTCTAAACATATTTAGGGTGTTTTTACTCACTTTTTGTCTCTCCCACGACCGTATTCCTCTTGTCCATTACAATTACATGCAAATGAGAAATTATGCAAAATATGCGATGACATCTTCTAGCGACTTTTAGGACAGCCAATAGCTACTTTCCTTACTTAGGAGTTGGCACCAATGAACACACTTCAACCTTTAACCCCCCATGTACAGAAGGACAGACACTACGCAATTAATTACAGATTGCACTACCAGTAGACTGGAGATTCACAGTTATAGCATGCTTTAAAAAATGAATTAGTTCAAACTTTGCAGTTTTCTAAATGGAACAGTTCAGCATTTGGGGAAATACATCTCTTTGCTTTCTTGCTGAGAGTGAGATGAGAATTGTGACCAATACCACTCTCACAATAGAAAGTATTTGCAAAACTGTTCAAATAATTGTTTAATCTGTTTGACCTTTGTAAAGACTTGACCTGTGCACATGAAATATTGTGTGAGTAGGTGCAGAGAGACTCAGACCAACAGGAGGTGTGCAGATGCAGAATGAGATGATTGGCCTGTCTGCAACAAGGGATGTGAGTGGGTGTAAGGTCTTATAGTTTTGGCTTTATATTATCAACATTATTCAACAACATATGAAATGCTTGGCCTTCTATAATCAATATTATAATCTGCATTAGCAAATATATCTACATGTTAATTTTAGTATCATATGCTTTATAATTTACTTTTGTTTTAACCATTTCACTTGTCTTTAAGAGTGCAGGAGACTTGGAGCTGACAATAACAGAACCTGTGTAAGGCTGTAAGCAATAGACAGGAAACCACAAACTGGAACTAGGCCCTAGTTGCATAGCAACGCTCCTGGTTACAAGAGTAGAAGAGAAGTGAGTAAGAGGTGCTTTCTCTAAAACTGTCTCTGTGCTTAGGGAATTGAAAGGTCAGGATGTTGTTCTTAGAATTTCACAGATCAAATCTGCCTGGCGACAAGATCACCAAATGAGGGGTCAGAACGAGGTCAACAAACTAACCAAGGAACGAGGATGAAGGACAACATGGATGACATCAGATCTACCATCATTTGCATATTCGAAAAACTGTATAATTAGACTGGGTTCAGGATTATAGGCGTTCTTCTTTGCTCTGAAGGCAAGTCGAACGGTTTTGCTGTTTAGAATCAGGGCCTCAGATAGAGAAAGAACCCAGAGCTCTGTAATTGCTTTTCTTCAATATTGTAATAAATATTTTAAAGGTTGTTCTGACTTCGACTCTTCCTCTCAAATGAACATGCAGGATGGTTAAGTCCTACAAAAGCTAGACTTGGCAGACAGTTAGCCTAACCTAACCAAGATGGCGCCGCTGTATCTGGCCGGATCAGACGTCAACCCTCTTCGCTCATGTTATTGGCTTGTGAGGTGCTCCACTCGGCGTTGCTCACAAGCAAATCTTCGCCCATTGGTGCTGGCCGCCTTGCCACAGGTCAAGCCTAACCCACCTCATTTTGCTCTCTTTAACACAAGATCACTCAACAATAAAACGTTCCTCCTTAATGACTTTATCTCCACGCAAGACTTTGATATGTTTTTCATTACTGAAACAAGGCGATAATATTCTCTTTTCTGAGCTTCTACCGTCAGCCAATTACCTGTTTTTTAACACTTCGCGCCTCACTGAACGGTTTGGCATCTGTTTTTAAGTCGACATTAAAATGTCGCTTTCTCTTTCCTAAGGTCTACTCCAGCTTCGAACTACAAACTTTTGTTTTAACACTCCACTGTCCAATTCTATGTGCAGTGATATACCGTACTCCTAAATCTAATAATTTTATTAATGAATTTGGTAACGCTCATTCCTCAGTTTGACAGTGTTTTAATATGTGGAGATTTTAACATTCAGTGTCTTGCTTAAGGACACTTCGACACATGGACTGCTGGCACCGAGATTCGAACCTTCATCCCTCTGGTTGGGAGACGACTGCTCCACCACCACACCACAGTCGCCTCCCCCAAATATGGAGGCATACTGGACCTCACCATCTCGCAAGGTGTGGATATATGCATGGGAGTGTTAGGGTGATTTTTATTTTATGCACTTAAGAATGGTTTTATGTTATAGCACACATGTCACTGTTATGTTTATATAGTTATGAATATCACCCTATGTGTTCACTGAACCACTGGTCAAATATTTGCTGTGTGAGTCACTGAAACACTAATGCAATATCATAAGTCTTGTCCACTAAATTACTGAATTTCATTAGATTTATGGCTGTAGCTAAGGGGGCTCATAGTTACTTATCGTTCCTCTGGACCGGTGGACCCAAAGGCGTCTTGGTACAGTAAGGCTCCAAGTTTATTAAAATAGATTAGACGTAGATGAGAAAGCTTCAAAGGGAGAACAGTTATGCACACACACCTGCAGGCAGAACAGTTTTAATTAAGTGAAACGGAAAGCAATGCGTAATATGGAGCAGTTAGTTGAAACCAAAGGAAGAAGTGAGTGTGTATGTAGGAATTAAAGTAGTACAGGTATTCTTCCCCTTTGTAGGGCGCTGTCCACGATGATTGGAACAGAGAGGACGATTGGAGGACGGACGGACTGAAGGACCAATAACGGGAGAGTTAAGTCTAAACCACGGCTTCTCCCCAACAGTTTTAGTAGTACCTTTTCATACAAATATTGTATACCACTAAGTTGAGGTCAGTCTTTTCTGTTTATCCTAAACAGTAAAGATCCATGTGCACATGTTAATTTTGATCCGTTAATGCATAATAAATTTCACACTGTGAAATATATATCCTCTTATTAGTCTTCAATATAAAAAGAACACGCCTCACAGGAGATGTATCAAACTTCACTTCTTTGTCCACTTTGAGATTCTGACACCATTAAGTACCCATGGCCCTATGTCAACGCCGCAGGATTATTAGTCTGTCTACAGCTCCTAACTTTGCTGCTGCTTTCTTAGCCTTTGAATTCCACTCTTCAGAAGCACAGAGTCTTCCTGCGTGCCCTGATGCTCTTCTCTCTTCGTTTGATTCTACCTGCTCCCAGATTATGGACTCCATCACTCCATCTAGGATGATGAGACCCAAAAACACCTCTGGTTGAATGACACCACCCGTGCCCTGCAGAGGTGCTGCAGACAGGCTGAACGTAAATGGAGGAAGGACGGCATGCACATCTCCCTGGACATATTCAGAGACAGTTTGGTCTCCTATCAGAAATCCGTTAAAGTTGCTAAAACTCAATATACAGTATGTCTAATATCATTTCAAATAGCAGTCACCATTCCTAGAGTTCTTTTGTAATACCATCAATCTGGTTATCAATCCAGGTGTTACCCTGCCCACTGTAGGATCGGTTCAAATATGTAATGAATTTCAGAGTTATTTCACTGATAGAATCAGGGCTATTAGACAAAATATTCCCAAGTTTCCATCCCCCGCATCACCTGTTTCTCATGTATTGGATACTTTAGAGACCTTTACCCCGATCTCTCTGCCCTAACTCAAAAAATTTGTCCTACAGTTAAAGTCTGCCTCCTGCCCCCTTGATCCAGTCCCCGCCAGGATAATCAAGGAGGCTATCGACATGATTGGTCCCTCTCTGGTCATATTTATTAACTGTTGTCTTGAGCGGGGCTTGATTCCGACTACCCTTAAGCATGCTGTAGTGAGACCACTCTTAAAAAAAACTAATCTTGACCCCTCCCAGTTGTCCAATTGCCGCCCAATTTCCCTTCTGTTTTTTCTGTCCAAGGTTATGGAAAAAAATCGTTCTTACTCAATTACAGCCTCATTTGGACCCTCTGGATCTCGCCAACAAGTTTCAATCTGGCTTTAAGCCTCGCCACAGCACAGAATCTGCGCTACTAAGGGTCCACAATGACATTACCATGGCCCTTGATGCCAAGCGGCCCATTATCTTAGCTCTTCTAGATCTTTCGGCAGCCTTCGATACCGTTGATCATGCAGTTTTGCTATCCTGTTTGGAACACCGTGTTGGCCTGAAAGGCGCGGTGCTAAATTGGTTCACCTCTTTCCTGACCAATAGGACCTTTTGTGTTGCTATCGGCGATTTCTCCTCAACGGCAGCCCCTCTTACCTCGGGTGTTCCCCAAAGCTCAATTTTAGCCCCGTTACTTCTTTCCTTATACATGTCACCCCTCGGCTCAATTATATCGAGGCATAATGTTCATTTTCATTTTTATGCAGATGATGTCCAGATTTATATGCCACTGATTCAATATGACTCTAACACCCTTACTCCCCTCCATAACTGTATTCGCGATGTTAAAGAATGGCTATCACAGAATTTCCTTTATTTAAATGACAGCAAGACTGAATACATTTCTTCAGTCCTGACTCAGCTGCTCTTGTATCCAAATTAGGTGTTTCGGCTCCCTTAGTCACTGATACTGTTAGAAACCTCTGAGTGATATTTGATAGTAACCTTATTTTCAGGTCAGATCTATAGTCAAAACTAGCTTTTTTCACCTGAGGATGTTAACGAAGGTGAAGCCCTTCCTATCACATGCTGAGTTAGAAAAAACTATTCATGCTTTTATCACCTCACAACTCGGCTACTGCAATGCCCTGTATGTCGGAATTTCTCAATCTCTTCTTCGGAAGCTACAGCTCATCCAGACTCTTGCTGCGGCTCGGCTCCTCTCGAATACCACCAGATACGCCCAAATCACCCCTGTCCTTTCTTCGCTGCACTGGCTGCCAGTGAAATTCAGAACAGACTTTAAGGTGCTGTTATTTGTATTCAAGTCGATTAACGGCCTCGCCCCCTCATATGTGTCGGATCTCATTTCTGTCTATGCCCCGCATAGAGATCTACGCTCTTCAGAGCATCTCTCTTTGACTGTCCCGCGATCTCGATACAAAAAATGGGGCGATCGCTCTTTCTCTGTGTATGGCCCCAAGCTCTGGAACTCTCTACCACCAGAACTGAGCTGGCCTTGTTGAAAGTAACTTTAAAAACACATCTCTTTAGGCAGGCCTTCAGTACTTAACTCATTTCACTGAGATATTTTTAACTTGTTCTATGTTATTTATGTTTCAACATGCAGTTTCCCCTCTGTTTTAAAGTGTGTGTTTTAATCTATTTTAGGTTTTTTTTTGCTTTTTTCTTTAGAGTACATACGTACTCCTGAAAACAGGAGGAAACAGCCCGGCTCTGTCATTGGAACCTCTAAAACTCATTGTATGCTTTTTGTTTACACTAAAACAAAAAGTGACTACGCCCGACCAAGACGTATCCAGGCACAAAGCAAAACCAACTTGTCGTTTTAGGAAACAAGTGTTTGTTTTAATGCTGTTAATGTTTCTCTTTTCCTAAATCACTTGTTTTGCATCTGTATATGAAATGTGGTTTACAAATGAGGGTGCCACGCCTTGCCTAACATTTCCCAAAATGTTGTACTGTTCCTTTATTGATGTTACTCTTAAAGTGTACATTTTTCTGTGTTTTATACATGGAAATAAAAGAAGATCAATGCTGATGTACACACTGCTATCTCAGTTGTGATCTGTGTTTTGTTGCTGGAGTGCTTCAGAATCAGCTTTATCAGAGCTTTGCGGGAGTGTTTGTATCCAGAATGAAATCTGGACACTTTGGCCTCTAAATACCTCATCTGAATCTCTGTCATTGCCCTCTATTTGCACAAGAACACAAAGATTTGTGTACCTGGATGAGGTAGTGGGAGCAGAGGCTGAGGAGCTCCAGAAGCTGAAGGTGGCTGCCTGCAGACAGGACATCCTGGATCACTGCCGGATCCAGCAGAATCTGGGCAGAGATAAACAAGGTCAGTAGGTTTTTTTTTTTTTTTTTCCAGTTTCACTGCAGCTGGGTTTGAACAAACTAATTTATAAATTACTCTAGAGCTAGATTTTCGGAAAATAATCTGTATTGTCATTTTAGTAATTTTATAAAATTGTATATGTATAACGGCACATTATAAGCTGGTGACTTGTCCAGGGTGTACCTGCTTTTCACACAGTGTTGGCTGATTGGTTCTATCCCTGGGACCCTTTACAGGATAAGAGGCATAAATAAAGGATGGATGTTTTCTTAATGTTTATTTGTTCTGTAGGTACTATTAACTCTATGCATACGTTAAGAATCCAGAACTACCTGTATCTACATCCAATCTCCTTTATTTATTTGATGTATGCGTTAAGCCCTCGTCTTCCTGCTGTTCCCCATACAAATCGTGGCTTTTGTGATGTTTTTCTCTAGAAAGTTTATTAAAACAAATATCACATTTTATGTTCATGATATGCAGTGTCAGGCAATAACAGAAAATGTTTTTTTTTTATCCTGTTTGGCCCAAAACTGGCTCTTTTGTGTCACTGATAAATCAACACAATAAAACAGTTCATGTTAGTGGCAATTTCTTTAATACTGAAGGGTTCTGACAGTAGGAACTCTTGAGGATGATGATTAAATTGTTTCATTATTTATCTTTCGTCTTCTTTTTGTTTCACATTATAGTTGGGTTCCAATTCATTTTAGTTTAGAATCACTGAATATTCAGTACATTCCAGGTTGTTTAAAATGTGTTACATGGTGCAGTAGAGATGGGGAAAGTGAGTGTGACAGATTGCACAGGAAAAAAGACCTGTCTACCAGTGTGCTTGGTTCACCATTACATTATCATCCCATCAGTAGCAACATATTCAGGCAGTTATTACAGCATAGATTGTGCCAGAATGCTTCCTGTTGAGCTAACTGAACAGCAGCTGATATTATCTGCTGAAAGCTTCCTTCTGTTTCCTCCATATTACCCACCCATATGCAACATAAAGCTCTGTAACACAGCCAACATATTCTTAGGCTCTTGGGAACAGAGCCAGGTAGTGTGTAGTGTGTAGTGTGTGGAGGATAAACAGTCCTGATTTGTATCTATTCTGAGCAAACTAACAGGACCACGTGGAGGTAAATATTCCATTAATCAGTGGAATAATAGCTCCGACTAAACATGCCCCATGCAGCTTCAAACAGTGGACTCACCTACTCCAAATGAAATTTTGATTTGGATTTAAAAAACAGTAACAAACCTTTGATAATTCATTCAACAAGCACCGCCCTACATGGCCACAGAGCCGTGACTGCATCAGTGGTGAAAGTGAGAAAAATGAAAAAATATCACCCTCCCATCTCACTACTGTTGCTACAGTGGTGTGCTGAACATTGTTTAGGAGCACTCAGGGGTGTAATTTTGGCTAAAGCCTACTCATTATCATTTCTGAAAAACAGAAAAAGCAGCTTTTTTTCATCTCAGTAGAACAAATCTGAATACAACTCTGCTACCTATTCATGTGAAAAACATTGTAGTCAGCCTTTGTGATGATTACATTCTTCGTTGCATATAAACACACTCACCGTTTGACCACTTTAGCATTCATGTAAACGATTCATTTGAAATCATTACACCAATTGGTTTAGAATGATAGAATATTATCTACTGAATGGATTACAGCTATCAATTCCCGGAAAGCTTTGCTGATAAGCTTTCCTGCTCCTCCTGCTCCTCTTCCTCCTCCTTCTTCTTCTTATTATTTTTCTTCTTCCCCTCCTCCTCCTCCTCCTTCTTCTTCTCCTTCTTCTCTGCAATTAGCTGCATGTGCACCTTCCAGTTTATCACAGTGTGGTTTCCTGGTGTCCAGTTAACAGTACAGGACAGTAACTTCCAGAAGCTTTACATATCGAGATGAAAAGCAACAGTAAGTGGTTATTTGCCTCAGGATGCACTGGGCTTAAATAGAAATACTCTGATTTTTTTCCACCAATCAGATAAAATTCTCTTAATTTATAAATCAATCCAATCATTTCTATTCCTCTTCCTTCACATCACTGCTATTTTATTAAATGAACAATAGAAAACAAACAATGTAGTCAGAAACAAACATTTCCCTCATCTTCTTTGGCTCAGTCAGTGTCCTGGCAGGCAGCAGTGGCAATGAAGGCCGCACAAAATAATAACCCTAATAACGGTGCATGAATGTTCTTTATATCCTGTTCTCCTCTCCACTCCAGAGGCCCACTGTAGCTAGAACCCTTCAACCGCGCACAGCAGAAGCCAGTTTTATAACACTATGGCCAGTTCAGTGTGGGAGTACAGTTCTTGTCCAAATCGACATTCATTTCACTCACTACTTGCAAGCTTCTGTCTGAGGGAAATTACAAAATTAAAGGAGATGCTTGTAAGGCACAATATAGAGGTCTTCTACCCAGGATCTGACCCATGAAGGCTCACTCTACCTCACTCTTTTACCTCAGAAAAAAGAAGCTCTATGGATGGAGAAATTCCATGTCTGTAGGTAATAATAAAATTGAAACACTGCTGGGTTATCCAACTGACTGAGATATTCAGTGTGGTCATGGCATGCAGTAAAAACTTTAGGGAAGTTATTGGCTGACTTTTGGGAGTATCCTGTCTCCTCACTCACCCTGCTGGCCTATGACAGGAGGGAATTTAGTAGGTCATTATTTACAGTGTGGAAATAAGCATATTGCCTTCACCTCATCTGCTATCATCTCTTCTGGGCAGGCAGGAGCTGAGCCACCCAAAGCAGGGCAGCCTGATGTTGACCTACTTACACTGTCTACCCAACTCACTCTTTGTTCATTTCCACTATGGAAATAAAGTAACAAGTAAATCTCTAGACATCTCAGTGGACTGCATCATCTTTAAGGTGCTTACTACACCGTGTTTTGTTGGTACTAAAAAGCTCAAGTAAAGCTATTAAAATGGTCACATAATTATTTTTTGTTGATGGTGTGAGAAAGCAAGGACAGTGACCTCACTGGGGTGATTGAAAATATAATGCTGTGCCTTTCATTTCTGCTTTCTCAAACATTTTCTTATATGGCCTTCTTATTTAGGTCCCCGAACAATGTTCATCAGGTAGAGGAGTGATTATGTTATCAAATCTAATACAGCGCTTGTACACTCCTGGATAACACACTATATTCAAAGGCATGCTGCATACTACAGAGATTAAAGTGGTAATCTGCAAAATCTGTGTTTTGATTTACTTAGGTGGTTTAAAAGTAGGATGCATTGTTGTACATCTACAGCACATTAAACATCTCAACAATGTGAAATTAATCAAAATTGCCCCCCCCTCAAGGAGCTAGTCTTACATAATAATGCATCCATAAAAATGAAATGGATATTTGAGTCTCAAAGAAATAATTCTGCTAATACTGGTGAGTTAGCCTAGCATGTTAATAGCTGGTTGCTGATGGTATAGTGGATGATACTATGCACAGACCTGTAGGCTTTGCTGTGTGCTAGGAGCAGGCCTGGTTGGTGGATTAGGCTGCAGTCTGCCAGTGCTGGCAACATGTTGGTTAGCTTGTTAGTTAGTCCCACTAGTCTCACTAAACTGGGCTAGTTACTTTGGCCATATTAGTTTGCTTGTCAGCGTTCATGACTATTTGAAATCTGTCACATGGGATTTGTGATAGGCACTTTTAAGGATGGATTATGATGCACTGGGCCTTTGGGCACAGACATGTAAAAGGCCTACACTTCTACGAACAAGACACAGATTGCACAAATGATTTGTGGTCAGTTTGTGTCTTCTTATGGTTGTTTTGTGTCCATTTGTAGTTGTTTTACAGCTGTTTTTAGCCATTTTGTGTTCACCTTTACACAATTTGCATCTCTCTTAAGTCGTTTTGCACATTTTATTTATTTTGTGAATGAAATTTGATGTACAAACATTGATTTCACATGCATCCATTTTTATTAGTATAGTAGGGTTTTGTTGATTGACAAGAAGAGGACTTTGGTAGGACACTTGGTATGTCTCTAGGTTCTATTAATCAAACAGTGTTGGTTGTGTTGAGTGTCTGGGTGAAGCTAAGGTGAAGGTGGGTGAAGAGGGGTGGTTCTGAGATGCTGGAATATGTTACTGAGTTTTCTTAGTGTAGTGTGCCCTGTGCTGGTTATTGAGAGGGTGCCCACTTGATGACTCTGTAGACTTGCCTACGTTATTACTGTAGGTATACACCCAGTGTCATATGTTATTTGCCTTTTGTAAGACAAGTCAAAGATTTATGTGTGGGAAGGTTTCTCCTACTAGAGAGGTTATTATTAGTGGTAGGTGGGAGGCTGGACTACTGAGTGGAGCGTGGCCTTCCAATGAAACAGCCTATCATGCCAGATAATGCAATGTAGACTAAGCATACTGTATATTCTGTACAGTAAGGGCTCATTAAGCAGCGCTTTCCTTAGGAAAGTGGGATTCAAGGACATTACTGTAGCTGTTAAGAGTACTCAGTAGTACTGCAGGGCCCAGTGTTAGGTCAGACATTCCATTATATATATTATATTAGAACTGGCCTTCCATCCACTTTGATCACATTTCCCACATCTATAAATAATGTTGCTAATAATCTTTTTATACTTTTGGGTACATAAAATTTTGGCCGCATTCACCACTGCTGTTAAGTGGTTTTTGCTCTGGTGTGTTTGGCACTTCTCAGGTAGAACTTATCAATAAAACAGTGTGTTTTTTTTTTATGTTTCTGTAGACACTGCTTTCTCTGTGTCTGTTCAGGTCTCCTGGCCATTGCTCATACTCACCTGTCCAGTGTAGGCGAAGTCTAAGGCGTGCTTTAGTCCAACGCTGGTCACCCCTTGCAGAGTCACTTCGTCTGCTTCACTCTCCACCATGCACAAGCTGAACATGGCCTGAGGACACGCAGCCAAAACATGGAGGTCAGCTGAGAGACCACTGCATCACAGATATTTCACCTGGCACTTTCTGTCTTTGGTTTAACTAAAGTTGGAGCCAGGCAACATGAGACTGGATTATAAAATGTTCAATAATCATGGGTGTTAATGGTAAAATCAATCCAGCTTTGTTCTTCCAGCCCTGCAGTGCTGACTCTGTAGGGTGATCGTATTATATCTGTAAGTTATTACAGCATTAACAGCTTGAAAAAACTTTTTTTTATGTGTACGTACTGGGAAAAAATAGCAGTTAATCAAAACCTGCCAGACACAACATCCTAGAACTCCTACGTATTGATTGGCCTGCCTTGTATCCAGAGGTCAGCAGAAATAAATAGCACAATCAGTAATGTCTGTTATACAGCTTCTCTGTCACGCACACAAGCATACACAGTCATGTGTGCACACCACACTCCGTGTGAAATCAAAGCATCGAAGGCAGCATTGGCAGTCTGGTCGTGCTGTGCAGGAGTCCAGTTTTGCTACTCGCTAATCAAAGCTATTGACTGGTGTCACACCATGAGGTGATGATGGAACCATTGATCAAGGGCAACCAGCAGAGTGCAACAGAGTGAGAGAGAGATGATGGGTCAAATGGCCACAGTGAAGATCACCTTGACTGTCTGCCTTTTTTGTTTTGAAGGAGAGCATAGTTAAAACCCTTATGTTTATAGTTTTCTGGATTGTAATGGGACATAACAATCAGTTTTCAGACATCATAAATTATGTCTGAAAACTAATTGTGCCTGGTGTGATCAATTTCTACTGCACAGTAGCCTTGTCTCTAGCTAACTTGCAGTTTCACATATCTTGCTCTGCACTATCTCCACTCAGAAACTGGTGAATAACACGCTTAAAAGGTCCGGGCTAGTTAGTGTCACATATCTTTCTGGCATGAAAGCAACATTCATTACCATCCAGACCTATCTAGTCCTTCCTGATTCATAGCGCACATGAACTTAATTAGCCACTGACCCCCGATGGCAAACAGCTCCTCTGTATTGTGAGAGTGATGTGTGAGACAGGATCAACTTGAGGACATGATGAGTTTTAACCTGAGCCTCCATGTCTCTCCTCAATGCTCAGCCTTGTTGATTCACCAGTGTGCTAAATAACAATCCACTGGTCCACTGAGCATAGGAGAGCCTGTGGCTACACCTGGGGTGTGATAGTGCCTGAGCAGTGGTCAGTGTGTGCGTAAGTGTAAAACAGAAAGTTAAGCAGGAAGTAAAAAACAAAGTGCATGTGATGGAGACAGAAATGGAGCGGCCTACGCTTTGCTTGTTTGCTTACTAGGAGTGTTCGCAGAGCTGTTCACCCCCAGCATGAAAGCTCCTGACCTTGGTTGTGGAGCCAAGGGAGCACTGATGCTCATGGAAGGATCCTCTGAATGAGGATATAGATCCAGCTCAGAGACACACTGAGCCACAGAGCCCCACTCACTGCAGTCCTTTCACATGGTGGTGCAGTGGGAGTGCAGTGCAGCGGTTAGTCTGACCTGACAGTGCAATTTATGCACGTCTGCTTGGGGTGATCGCACCAGAGAGGAATCGTGACTCCCTCAGACACCCAATGACATGGTGCAGTATTCAGTGATGTTGTTTTTTTTATGTCTGAAGAAAATATTCCCTTTTCTCTAAGGGCCCATGGCTATATTTGCAGCCAGATACAGCACAGAAATGATATGATAACTTACAATGACAAAGGCTCAACTGCTCTGGTTGTTGAAGACCAGTGTGGCTACAAGCAGTGCTGGACTAAAGCTGCTAATCATTGCAGTTTTGTGCCACTATTCTTCATCTTCAAGCCAAGAAATTAGCTAATTTTACATGTATTCAGGGTATTTAACAGAATTTGACTTTTAATGAGGAACAGTAGCAAAATCGCATCAAGACCAGATAATCCAGCTAAATGTTAGTTATCTTGAATTAACAGTATGCCTTTATTTTTAAATTGTAAGCTGAAAGAAAATCAATACCATGATCAGCATTCATATAAGACTCAGTGCTATAATTGCACTTATACTGCATGGCCTCCCAGCATGCACTGGGAAAATAAATTCATATGCATATATTTTCAGTATAAGTGAATCTGACAATTATTTTTTCAATTAATCAAAATTAAATTGTCTATGAAATGTCAAAAACACCTGTCAGGGCTTTACAGAGCTGAATGTGATGTCTTCAAATGTCTTGTTTTACTCATCTAAAAGTCCAAATATCTAAAGTATTTCAGTTTACTGTGATATTTGATCAAGAAAGGCAGAAAATCATCTCACCGAAGAGGCTGAAATCAGAGAATATTTGACATCTTTTCACTATTTATGCTTGAAAAATTACTGAAATAATAAACTGATTATCATAGTTGCCACATGTTTTTCTGTTGATCAACTAATCTAATTCATGTAAGGTTTTCCAGATAGTGTAGTTTTTTTGTTGTTTTTTTAACAAATTCTAAGAAATGAAAAATCCCAATTTTGTATTAAATCAGAAACAAAGAAATCATGCTAGCACAGTCACCTGCATCCAGAAAAGGGGGTGCAGGTCTTTCCTTAGACATCCAATATATTATGGGTTCTACTGTATATTGCACTACATAGATATACAGAAATACTGTAAATAATATACAGACCGATAGATTTGTTTAACCCAACACTATTGTGGCTGTTATATGCAGTGCAAGAGATGAGTGCAGTACATCGCCCTGTACACCACATCCTCACACACCTCAGGCATCTAGTAGACCACACTGTCAAATCAAGTCATACTGGAAGGCAAAGAGAAGGGATTAGCTGTCAGTCATGTGGTCTACACAAATAACTGTACATCTATCTTAAAATAGCACTGGCTTCACTAAAGGGTAAAAGAAGTAACACAAGGGGGGGTGTCTTGCCCAAGGACACTTTGACACATGGACTGCTGGCACCGAGATTTGAACCTTCAACCTTCTGGTTGGGAAATGACTGCTCTACCCACCGTACCACTGTCACCTCCCCAGAAGTGGCACAGAGAGAGAGAGAGGAAACACAGTCCCTACTCATGACACAAGGCACATTGGTCTCATCAGTAAATGAACTAAATGAAGCCCAGCAGTGGAGTCAGATGACACACTGAAGATAAGGTTATTAAGCCTCAACAGAGGAACGAGGGAGCAGACTAAGTTTTCTTCCTTACTGTAGTAGGCCGATCTAATAATCCAAGCTCTGGTATAAAAGTGTTGTTTGACACAGCTGGGATTTGTAAGAGCAGCATTCAAACTACGGAGCCCAAGAACAAAAGGAGAACAAAAGTGAAGAGGACAAACTAAAGGAGGAGAGGAGTGTTACTCGCCCACCATCAACTCCTAGCAGAGAGCAGTAAGAATAACCTTCGCACATACACACACTCACACAGGGGAGGAATTATCCCTAGGCAGCTTGGACATATTTAATCTGCCTCTCATTTTCAAGAGGGATTCATTTCTACTTTCTAATCTCCTCAATGTCCCTAAATCGAATCTGATGGGTGTACTTTTCTCTGTCCTGCCCATCTCAGCAAATCTCCTGTCTGGCTGTCTGACAGCTTCAGTCCTCTGTGGCTGAAATACAATCAGACTGGCGCCTCGGCCAGAGACCACAGGAAAGTAAACACTGGGGCTCGGTCCAGGTGGTCTCGTAGAAGATGATCTGCTGTAGCACTTTTCATTTAGAATGAAGCTGTCAATGCAGTGCATATTTAGCACCATCTACGCTTGTAAACCATCTTCATAACACAAAAATTCATTTACTTTTTTAGAATTGAGTTTTTCCAAGACTTTTGCTGCTGGCAGCACAGAAGAGCCCCTGAGACAGTATTTTGTCCATTGTGGGAACCTACAACCCTCCACTAATAATCAGTGCTAATGAGTTTCTTTCAGCTGGACCAGCAGCCATGTGAGACAGATTTATAGATCTACCAGCCCTGAATATGGTTACATAACACTTTGTCACCTCTAGCACATCAGCAGTGGGCTACACTGCCTGACTGAAACCTGCTTTATATAGAATGGCAAATATCAGCTTGACAAGAGTAGAATCAATTGTAAAGCCTAACCACTGTCCATACAAACAAAGGAGGTGAATGTATGTTCCTGTTTCATTTTCAATACATATAATACGGTCCAGGACTCACCCTGAAGTAATCGCTGCATGCTGCCAGGACAGCTTTGTGGGCATGGAACTTCTGCTCACCGGCCACCAGCGTGACGTCACACAGCAGGCCGTCTTTCCTTTGCTGGTTGAGGGCAGAGAGGACCGAGTCCTGGTGGGACTTTGACTGGCAGAGCCTCTGTCCTGTCAGCATCTCCCTGCTGCTCCACACACATGCACACACACAAGGAGGATATGCAGCTTGACCGGTGGATAAGACAGAGCTTTTTTTTTATGTCAATTACACATTGATAATAATAGTACATTTACTACTTGTGCTACTGCTATCACAATGACTTTGGTGATCCCTTAACCTTCAACTAGTGCAGAATTTTAATCTGTGCTATATTTTGTTTTAGAACCAAATACCTGCAAAGGGTAGCCTGCTAACGTAATGCTGAACATGGTTAATATTGTATCTGACTTGTGAGCATGTTGTCATTGGCATCTAGTTCAAAGTTCCATTGTTGAGCCTCACAGTGCTGCTGAGATTTTATATTTATGACAAAGCAGTCTTTTTGAAAATGAACACAATGACCAAACAAGTGACATTAATCTAAAAATATATACAATATATGTCATATTTGCTTAAATTTTCATATACAGATACTAGCAGTCTGTGAAAGTTTGTACATAGTTCAATCATCACACAATGAAAGCAGTGGGTTGTTAAAGTCATTTTCTGTTTCTGTGTACAATATGCAGCACTAAAACAATGTAAATTATTTTTCTTAATTTTTAATAGAAAGAATAATTAAATGAAATGCAATGTAGACCAGTGACATGTTCCTAATCACACTAATAACTTTGTAATGAATGAATTTTCCATTATGTGCCCACTCACTCTGACAAAGAACACGTTCTCTATGTGCCTCACAAATCTCTAGTCAGATTCTTTACAGTGCATGAGGCAAACCGCATCTGGAATAGCATGGCTGACTGACTGAAGAAGTCTATGCTGTGGCCCCTTGTCATAGTACTTATACCCTATTTTCCAACCCATCCTTAGTGCCTCTACTTAAATCCATCCATCAGCTGCAGCCCAGCCTGTCCATCCAAGTCCATATCTGTCCACTTGCAGTCCCGGCCATCACTATAATGCTGCTGTCTATCTGCCAGGAGGCTTGCTCCGTCACCTTCATGGTGATGGGGTGTAAGCTAAAGAAAATAATGGGCATGCGTAGGCGCATGTGTGCACTAGGGGCTAGAGGTAGGAAGAATGATGAGTCAGGCTATTTGTTCAGTGGTTGGATTCTGCTGAATGTAGAGCTAAGGGAGAAAATGACAAAACTGCATGGATGAGAGGGAAAGGAAATGACATGATTTTACAACCCAGAGAGGAAGAAGTGCGATGGTGGATTTGAGGAGGCATCGAAGCCCTTGATGATGATAATGATGATGGAGATGAATATATAAAAATATGTGGATGAAAATGTTATACAATAATGGTGATCAGCTTGAAGGTGAAGACTGTGATGGCCTGTACAGATTTAAATGGCTACATTTCTTTTAGAAGAATGGCCAAAACTGAAGCAGCAGAGGCCAACAGAGCATGTCGCTAGCATGGGTCAAACTCCAAATATCCTGGATCCTGCATTTGTCCCACAATTCAACAAATAGCATCTTTTTGTTAAGCTCTTCTCCTTTGTCTTTCAGACTTCATACCACCAGTGTGTTCTAAGGCTCAGAGTAAAAAGAAACAAACAAAAAGTCCAAAACTACATAATATCATCAGAAGCATCTGGACAGAGATTCTTTCTAGCCATGGAAAATACAGTATAATACGACTGTTTACAAAGGATGAATATTACACCCTATGACTAGTTAATTGACCTTGACTTATGGGATTGGCAGAATTCTGGCATCTTTTTCTGGTGTGGTACAGTTGTCCAAAGGTGTAGTTCCATTTGTTGAAGCACCGGAGTGCACCTATGACGCGTTGTGCGTCCATGCCTTCTCCTTCAGTGGGTTTAGCCTTGGTGGGTCTAACCTTCTCTACATCCAAACAACACATAAGAGAGAAAGTGAGCAGAGCCTGCACACTGGGAACACCTTCACTGAACAACATATTGAGCTTGCATGGACTTTCCTCAGGGTAAAATGAAAAATAGTGCTCTTGGCGCCCCAAGCAAGTGGCTTCCTGTCTGTGTTTGTGCATATACAATAACTAATGTACTTCTTATAGATTTTTTTGTTTGCATGAGCCTTGTGCATGTATGTGCAATATTTATGGAAGGATCAAGCCACTTACCTGAGGCTGAGTTCAGAAGGCATGCCCCTTGACAAAGACAGAGAAGATGGTGGTGGAGGTGGAGAGGAGGTGCTAGGTGGCTCCTGAGGACTGTAGTCTCCTCAGTGGGCACATACATCAGCCTGATAGGACAGAACAGCACATCAGCCTTACTCAGTCCATCCACTCGACCCAGTCACACAGTGGCATTCAAATGTGCAATGTGTGACGGGATGCAACTGCAGATCAAGCCTAGTCTTGAATCCTTTCTCCTTTCAGGTAAACCGGTGCTGACTTTGTTCTTTCAAGGTCTTTTGCATGTAAAACACAGGTGCTGTGACAGCCAGAGGCAGCTGGACTTCAGAGAAGGAAATAAACAAGCTCAGCGCTTCCCAAAACAAGCTGGGAATCCAAATTACACCAAGTCCTTCTGGCATAGCTACAACCCTGACATATAGTAATGTGCTACAGACCTGAATCTGATAGCCAATAGTCTATTGTGGGCCAATACCTAGCAGAACAACAGAGGAACAGAGGTCAGCAGAGATGCACTCTGACACCTAAGCTGCTCTACTCTGATTGAAAACCTACCCACTCACTTCACAATAAGCTGTCCCAGGTCTTCTTAGAAGGACGCCTGTGTATGAGTTCACCTTAAATGTAGCCAGGGCTGAGAGTACTACTGGCTGCTCTTGAGCGTAGTCGCCAGTGAGATCCGAGTATTGATCTTTTCTAAAGTAACCTTCAAAAGCATGGTTACAGACAACTGCTGTACTGACCACTGAGGTAGAGGACCTTATTCCAACCAAAGTACAGGCCAGGTACAGTATTTCACACCTTTGCCCAGATATGTTTTTGATAATGTGAGCTTAAACCAGAAAATGTCCTTAGATAATGTTTGAAAATCACATCATGAGTGGCCTAATATTCTCTCCATATTAACACTGAGATATAGGCTCCCACATGTCTGGGGTCTGAATATATTTAGGATCTGATCATCACAACAGTTGGCCCATTGTTTCCTGCAAACCACTGTAATCTCCTGGCTGAAAACAACCACACTGGAACGCGCTGTCTTTTACGCACAAGCGTCAGTTCGGATGTATGCATGAACAACTCACAGGGAACTGAAATGGGGAGTAGGAGGAAGGTTTGGGTTGCCAGAGAAGCAGACACCATTAGTGCATTAACTGTCACTTTCCAAAAGCTTCCAGCTGACAAAAGGTCTCCTAGCAACAGGCCAGCGCCTCTGTCCACAAACTATGGGGGCGGAGAACGGAACAACATCCCCCGTACGAGCAGAATAGTCCTGTTGCATCCATCGCAGAGCGCAACCACATAATCCACACCAAATTCTATAGAGAGCACCTTTCCGACTTTACAGGAATTTACTGTATTCAGCTGCCTCTCATCTCATTGTGGCACAAGCTTACGCACCTCATATGAATGCGGCATGAGTCAGTCCCATCCTCTCTGGCGGCATCAGCGTTACAAATGTAATTTGATGTCCGAGGCTGGGTTCTTTTACATACGCGGCGAGAGGACGGAAGAGCACAGCGGAGAGCAGATGCAGCCGGTTATCATGGACACTTTGTTGGTTACACTGCAGCATCTAAATTATCACATTATAACCCCGCCCCTCTAAGGCGGTCACATGAATGCGGGTATAGAGGGGATTCAGCGCCTCCAGGTGGATAATTGGGACACGACAACTTGTGCCAGCTCCTGGATGTTCACCGCATACAGTACTGTATGGTAGGCGCCTGTAGGATGGCTGATCGAGGCTTTGTTGAAGCTTCGACACAGTATTCAGAAAGATGGTTCATTGCTCGAGGCTTCAGTGACACAGTGCTCGAGTACAGAACAGGGCAGTGGGTGTGCATGTGTAACTGTTTATGAGTTTTTATTGAGAAATAACAGTATATCCACAGTTTTTGGACACAAGCGGTTACTCCTTTTACAGACTATTTCTCCAGCCTTGGAAAAAACCTGTTCACATGGCACAGATGAGTTTGGGGTACACAGGAAATGCTTGGATAATTTATAGAGGTTTGGGTAAACAGTTTTATGGGTGGCCCAGTATGTGAGGGGGTCCTCAGTTCTTTCCAGGGGAGGATCAGCCAGGTATCATTTCACTTCCACAACTGCATTACCTGTGGCGCTTTGCATGTGCCTGGCTCTGTGTGCAGCGTGATCCAAAAGTCTCCACAGGTCAACTCCTGAAAAATATTGAAGATCATCATCACTAGAAATGTCACGAATCATGCCTTATTCAGAATCAAATAAAAAAGAAATACCTGTGGAGGCTGCTGCTGCTGCTGCTAGGCGTTGTTTATGTTGATTATTTTTGTACATTCTGTTATCAGACGCTCTTTGACACCGGCTGGCCCCCT